CACTTAGCCAAATTTCAGCAAGTTTGACCTTGACGAATTTTTAGGCAACAAATCAGAATTTAAGTAAGAACACAAAGCCAATACGGGAAAATTCCCAATCCTTGTATTAATTTCGAAAACAAACAAAGGACCCTCACTTTGCTATGAACACAATCCGCTCATAGCCCACATTTGACAAAGAACACAAGTCGTTCTTGGCCAACACTAAGACCTGCCCAAGCCTAGCCATAGTCCCCTTTGAAACCCTGACGTTTCACTCTTGTTTCCCACTTATAATTTCACACGAAATCACCCACATACATCTGACTAAGTCCCAAAGGCCCTATTTATAAAACATAGGCAGCCCTTAGTACTTGACAGCACATGACACTTGTCATCTACAACTTTTGCCACTTGTCGGGCTAAGGCTAAAATCTGATCCTAACATGTAGTTGACATCCCCAACTACATAGGACATGATATACACGAAATGGATAATGGGTACAAGCATAATCAGACATGGGACAAAGAGGTTATGACAAGGTAACCGCCAAAACTGCTTTCCATGTGCATTGCATGTGCCATCTTCACTTGGCCAGCTGAATTTCGCTCAAGGCTTGCTTTGTGCCAAGCCTTAGCTCACTTTGACATTGCTCCGCGCCAATGTCTTGCGCGCAACCCGCTGCCATGATGTTGTCGCACACGCCCGACGCCGCTGCCGCCCGCACACTGCCTTGGCCTAGTTTCTGCCTTGTCCATGTCAACCTTCATTTCCCTCGTGCCATTGCTTGTATTTTCCTTCACATAGCCTTGCCTTAGCTATTGAAAGCCTTTGCCATCATCTCGCATTCCCGCTATGCCTTAGCTTAGGCCGCACTTAGCTGCCATAACCCAAAGTGTTGTGCCACTGATTTTGGCGTGCATGCCATGCCATGCCGCCCAAACTTAGCCCATGCTGCCTTGTCAAGCCTTTGCCAAGCGTGCCTTGCCTGTCCCAGGCCTTGGCCAATACTTGCCCACAACAGCCCTCAATGACAATGTCTTGTCCGTCGTCCGCATGATCATTTCGCCCGCACATAGGCCAATGACAAGGCCATCATGCCCAAATCCTTGTCACAGCCGTGCCACGCCTGATGACAAATAGTTAGGGTCTAACAAACCACCCGCACCCTTTGAAATCGATGTCCTCGTCGAGCCAACTCAATTAATCAGCCCCAAGGGGTTGTTGATAAACAACGCCTTGGGTACTCCATTCACATCTGCCACTATAGCATTTGCCTCCGCTACTTGTTCCTGTTTTTCCGCAGCTAGCATTGCATTCACTCTAGCTTGCACCGGACAATCCTTTTTCAAGTGCGGTCCACCACATGTAAAGCAGCCTTTGAATTTGCCGCTCCTTTCCTTGCCACTGTGAATTTCCTGTCTCACATTCTTGACAAGTCCTTTATTTTCAGCAGCTTGGCCTTCCCACCTTTCTTCCATTCCTTTGATTTGTCTTTCCTTCCGTCGGACTTTGAATGCGAAGTTTCAACAGGGTCATCACCTCTGTTCAATTCCGCTAACGCATCTGCCACTGCAATGGCAGTAGAGAGGCTTTGAACATTCTGCCTTCTCAATTCCAATTGCGCCCAGCCCTTCAAACTACTCATGAAGTAATACAACTTGTCTTCCTCTGCCATATTACTTACATTCAGGATCAAGGATGAAAATTCCTTGACATACTCCCTCACCGTGCCACTTTGTTTCAAGCGACGCAGTCCATCTCATGCAATCCATGACGAGTTAGTTGGAAGGAATTGGGATTTTAATTCCTTCTTCAAATGATCTCTAGCAATCCAGCCCGCATTGCTAGGAAAGAATTGATCCTTCAACTCTTTCTTCAGCCCTTCCCAAGAGTCAATCTTAGGCCTACCAGCACTCACATCATCTGCCACACGCGTCCGCCACCAAAGCTTTTCATCGTCCACCAAGTACATAGTCGTAATGGTGACCTTGTCTTCATCTTGCACCTTGGCAGCATGGAAGTACTACTCCATATCCCACAGGAAGTTTTTGAGTTTCTTGGCACTCCTTGCCCCATTAAACTCTTTAGGTTCCGGAATTTTGACCCTGGTACGATCTGCCTCACGCTGTGCTTCATCATTGCCAACAGTACGACGCAGCAACCCATTTTTCGTTTTCAGATCTGTGCACTCCTGGCTAGCCTGTTCAACTCGCCCTCAAGATAGGCAAGAAAAGTCATGATAGGCAGAAATTGATCCCCATCAACAGTTCCGATGAGTGCCTCTAATGCAACAACCTTTTCCTTCAGTTATGCGTTGCCACCAGCCATTCTTCACAAAATTCAGCCACTGAACGTCGTGTCTTCGCCCCGATCCAGCCACGCTCTGATACCAGTTGTCACAGGGGTGATTTATGTCACTTGAATTCTGCCCGAGGTTCACCTCCGTGCGGCAGTCAAGCCCAGCCTTGACTTCAGCCTTTCCAACACTTAGTTATATTTTAGGGATGTTTTGAACTTAGAATGAAAATAGGCAGCAAAAATAGTAAATAAAGGCACACACGATATACAGGAATTTCTTCCCAACTCGTATTAATATGTGAATACAAGAACACAATAGCCAACCCTATGGCCAAGACAAAGAATTCCCTAATTCCCTGCCTCAAAATGATTTTCCCACCCTTAGGAAATGATTTAGACGATTTTGGCTTCACAAAGCCTTAGACTAAGTTTTCTGCCTTGTTTTGGACATCCTAGGCAACTATTTATAAGGATACAATCAGTTGACAAGCCCCAACTGATGGGCAAACAAGTTAAGACAAAGTACAAAAATGTGCCCCATGTTTTAGGCCATGATCAGCATGTCTTGGAAGAGGTTGCAACCGCCAACTGCTTCCCATGTGCTTTGCACATGTTTTCCAACTGCTGCTTGTGCACAACATGTGCCCATTTCGCCCAGCTGCTTTGTGCCCAAGGCTGGCATTGCGCCCAGCCTTGTTCTTGACACTGCTCCGCCCCAATGTCATGGCCCCAGCTCGCCAACCACGGACTTAGTCGCACACATCCATTGCCACAATTGCCCGCTTATGTCAAGTTGCCCCCAACTTGATTAAATCTTCTCGCAACAATTGTCCTTGCTTGCCCCGCATTGCCTTGCCATGCCTTTTCCCATGCTTTGACATGGCTTTGCCTTGCCATTGTTTTGCCAACCCGCACGTCTAAGTAAAATGCGCCTTGCTTCCGTTCAAGGTGTGTTTGTCAACCCCGCATAGTCCGTCATGCCGAGCAGCCCATCATGATGCTGTCCCAATATTGAGGTTGTGTGCCAAGGCCAGCATGAAAATCCTTGTCACAACCCATACCTGCCGAGGCTTAATCTTTGAGACAAGCATATGACTACTGGCAGGATCAACCAGGTAGCATTCCTCATTGACGCTGGCGTCGCATGAGCATGGCTGACCAAAAGGGCACGGCCAAGTCCAAGACCAGCACGACCGTCATTCGTAAGGAGCATTCTTTGGGCAGATAGGAGCCAATGAAGACCCCATGCCCATTGCGTTTACCGAATCCGAGAGTCCGAGAATACTAGTCGTGGACCAAGACATCGCAGGGCGAAGCGAGGACGACCTGGGCCACAACTGCAGCTTTTGGTTCACCCCGTACGTCAAACGCGAGGGGCAAAAGGCAACCAATTGTGCTTGATAATACCTTGGCATTAGGTATGCAACACAGAAAACCGATGCCGAACAAGCCTAATTTGCGCTTGTGCCATAACTGAGATGGCATGCGGGCTAGGATGTCGCTCCTCAAGCAGGGATCTAACCTAGCCACACAAGCCGAACACCACTCATACGCCGCACGTACACTTGCCTCGCCGATGCATGCCAACAACAGCCCCAACACGCGACGCGCAGCCATGTGTTGTTGCCGATGCCAACATTGCAAAGCCAAGACAAGCCCCGTAAAGCACGAAAAAGGGGGTTGGAGCGTAGAAAATAAGAAGGCGCCACAAGTTAAAGGCACGAACACAGCCCACAACTACCGATGGCAATGGGCAATGTACTAAGCTTCGCCCCATGCGCATGGCACCTTGCGGCGCTAGTTGCACGATGCTTCGCCGTTTCGTTGCCAAAAGCCATCAACCTCCACGAGCGATGTCGCCACCCGATGTTGCCCGCAGCAACCGATGGCAATGGGCAACGTACTGAGCTTCGGCCCATATGCACAGCACCTTGCGGCACTACTTGCACGACGCTCCGCCGTTCCTTTGCCAAAAGCCATCAGCCGTCACGAGCGATGCCAGACACAACCCCCAACAATCGATGGCAATGGGCAATGTACTAAGCTTCGGCCCATGCGCATGGCACCTTGCGACGCTAGTTGCACGAAGCTTTGCCATTTCGTTGCCAGAAGCCATCAGCCGCCACGAGCGATATCGCCTCCTGGTGTTTCCTGCAGCAACCGATGGCAATGAGCAAGTACTGAGCTTAGCCCCATGCGCACGGCACCTTGCTGCGCTACTTGCACGACGCTCCACCGTTCGTTTCCAAAAGCCATCAGCCGCCACGAGCGATGTCGCCTCCCGATTTTGCCCGCAACATCCAATGGCAATGGACACGTACTGAGCTTCGCCCAATGTGCATAGCACCTTCACTACTACAAAAGAGCCTTTTAGTGGCATATAATTAGCGGCAATAAAAGAATGGCCGCTAAATAGTTTTGTAAACAAAAATATTAGCGGCAAATAAGCATCAGACGCTATTACATACCTTTTTAGTGGCAATAAAAATAAAATAGCCACAATTAAAAGTAGACTTTTATTACTTTTTTATTCCCCTCCAAAATTTTAGACTAAACATTCCCTTCAATTGTTTCCGTCTAAGTTGGAGAAACTTAAAAAAGAAATACTTCAAACAACTAAAATCTCTCATCCCCTGTAAAATTTTCACTGTTGCTGCCCTATCGCGGAGTCGCCGCCTATCGCCGATCCTCACCATAGCGCCACCAACCCCAGGTAATATATTTCAAAAAATACTTTTTAAATCATTGTTCTATTTCTTCTATGTCTCTTCTTGCTCCAAATAAATATCATAGTTTGGTGCAGAGAAATATACGAATTTGATATGTTTTGGTTGTGGTTAGAAATTGTTAGTTAATGGTTGTTTGTACACCGTGTGAATTGAATTTTTGTTCATCAATTTTAGTAGTGGTGAACTTTGCTTCAATATTCGTCCCTGCAGAGTAGCTTTGGTCGGCACACCCTTTTAAAAAGGGCCCTTTTATAAGGGACAGTAATTATAGTTAGAAATTGCTATATTTGGTTTGGGTGTAAACCTTTCTTCATTGTGTCAAAAATAGGTTGACGAAATTAATTGATTGAGAATAGAACTTCAAAAGAAGATTCTGAAAGTTGGAAAATTTGTAAATAATAATTAGATCGATGGTTACTCTATGGACCAAGTTGTCTTATACTTTAGTCTCTACATTACTGGGTTCCAGAATATAATTTTTTTAAATATTATTATGCTGGCTATCTATTATCTTCTATTGCCCTTCAACTTGTATAGCAATCCAATATTTCGTTCGTTACCTGTTAATGGTATCAATTTTAATATGACTTCTACAGTATGTATGTATATTTGTCCTTTTCTAGACATACACATATTTAGTAACATTACCTATATTCCCCATTATATTTGATCGTACGGAGCTAACAAATGATAAAAAGGTGGCAGCTATTAGTAGCTTCTCAGTACTTCTACTTAAAGGTAACAGTTCATAAAGCAGACCAACTAAACAGTTAATGTGCAAAATTGCTCCTAATGAGTTATCATCGCAGAATATCAATCGGTTCTCAACTGAACAGGTAACTCAACTTCCAAATATTAAGATATTTTTCACAAATTTTGATCTTATGAATTAATGTTATATAACTTGCTAACATTAATCAGGTCCCTGATGCCAACAGTGACTATGAACGAGTACCACAAGCGCAACGAATGCATAGTGTTAGTTAAAATATTCTATCTTCTCATGGTATGCTCTTGTATTAGAATTCATTAACATCTTACTTCTTTATTAAATTGTGCTCAATATTTCATAGATTATGTTATGTACCAATTTGATTATATATCGAGTGGTTAAGGAATAGTGAACATTTTATTCTTAAGTTGGGTTTCTGTAAATCCATCTACTATTTTAGTAACTTGGTTTGGCCATAAATTAAAGAAATCATCACGAGCCTCTTACTTCTTCTCCTTCATCTTATGTTTTATAGCAGAAGATGGTGTTGGTTTTGGGTAGTGTTGTGGTTAGAGGTAGTACTAGTTATTTGAAGACAATTCTTTTTTACCCAAGTCAATAGTTGGTATTTTTCTATTGAAGGTATGTATAATTTGGTCTATTTGGGGATATTCGAGGTCCATCAGACAAGTTTTTGAGCTGCTTTCAGTTTCGTTATGTATAGCTGCTTTGCCGACAATTTTTCGTTATGCATTTTTTTGACAACTAGCTTGTAATTTTCTCCTGGGTAATTTCTTTTGAGAGATGGAATACTACTTATTTTGTTGCAATTTTTGTTGAATTTCTGATTTTTTTGGTCAATTGAATTGGTTGAAGCTGTGTCGAAAATCTTATTTTGTGTAGGTTTTCTACTTTTTGGCATACTTATTGTACAAGAGTGATTGTTTTTGCCCAAATATTAATAAATATTATTACTTTATCAAACACAAGGTATACTCTTGAACGTGTATCAAATAATGCATGCGGATGGTATAAGAAAATTCAATTTTTCACAGTAACAAAGACTTCACCTAGACAAGCAACTCTTTGAATCAACTTGCACTTAGATGTTCGGTCTCTGTGTACCTTTTGTATCATTCATGGCCACCTCAAATACTTGTGTACGGTGATTCATCTACTTCTTTTGACTAAACCATAGCTCCATCTCAAATATTTTTCTACTTGTTTGTATTGGATAACATGTCAATCTATCTGTAGCTATTTCATGTGTTATTGGAATCTTGATTTTAAGAGTCTCTTGAGTCTTGATATCTATATGCATTTAAGTCAGTAGGATGTAGACATATCTAAAACACAGCGTAATATCCTCTTGTGCTACAATTTCAAAGTAAAATAGGGACATGAAAAAGGCCTAATTGTTATTGAGGATTGTCTGACACCCTACCATTGAGTTTCTTTCCCGTGTCCCCTTCTGATTCTTCTTTTTTCACTTTTCCTATTTTAGCTCTGCACTTATGAGCTCTATCCCTATTTAAATAGGCTCTACATCTCTCTACTTCTTTGACCGGTTTAGAGTGTCAGTGTACGAAGTGAAATATTAGTCAAACAGTGTACGTATTGCTACAGCCAGTGTGTTACCCGTCACACCTCGACGACAACATAAAATTTTTCCAACTAATGTGTTATGTCTTTGTCCTTGTGATTTTAGTGAAATGAGATTATGAGTTATTTTGCCTGAAGCTAAGGTGAAGTGGAGATTACCTCGACACTTAGCAACCTAGGCTTATGATATGAACTCTTTTTAGTGTTTACGCCATTAAGACACATTTGTTCAACCAAAAATATTTGAAAGTACTCTATTTAGTCTTGTTCATGGCTGGTGCCTCAGCTTAAATACAATGACAAAAAAGGCTCAAACGCTATAGTTTCCTCCTTGTTGAACTGATTTTCTCAAATTCATATATTATGAGGCGGGGCTAAGCATCTTCCCCTGCTGTCATTCTTTGAAAATTTGTAGTTTTAAGGAGTTCACTTCTTAAGGTTTATCTGAGAAAGAATTCCTGAGGTTTATGAATACAATACAAGCTACTTTGACATATTTTATATATAGACTCAGAATTTTTCTGCTTCACATTTGATTTCATCTTTTGACATTCATTTATTTTATTATTTCAGGTTATGCAACGAGTACCACAAACATCAAGGATACCTAGTGTAGCTAAAAATACTTCACTTTCTCATGGTACGTCTTTATCCTTTAGCACGCTACTGTTTGAGCTTTTTACTGTTTGAATTTTCCTCCAATTTATTTTATCACTAGAATCTGGTTTCATATATCCAAATGCTTTCGCTTAACTTCTTTTTGCTACTAGTTTTTGTTCTCACTGCTGCTGCTCTATTACTCGCATAGTTATTACTCTTGCTCTCAAAAAATTCTTTTAGCCTTTTTTTTTAGTTTTTTTGGTTATTAGCCAAAACAGAACTCTTTTTGTTGACCTGGGGCTATTCAAATCAAGTATTAAACACATTAGTATTGACTAGGGGGGCCTTGAATTCCTCTGGAAACTTGTGCTGGGTGGAGAAACTTGTGCGTAGTGCAAGTTATTAATATGGATATGGGTAAAAACTTCCCATATGATAAATCTAATTATGAAGTGCAAATCTAATACTTCTATCCACAATATAAATATCTGGTAGAACAAAGTAACCAGCCAAACAGAGTTATCATCAGCCGTCTTAAGGCCTTGATTCCGAGAGTGCTGTAAAGATCCAGCAAATGGCATTAGCCAAACTGGCCTAACTATTTTTCTGTAACTAGTAAATATGCTTATCTACGAGCCGAGCATCAGATATTGTAGTTTGGTACACAAAATGACATGACTATCAATAGTCTTTACAAGAACACTGCCCTTTACTGAACCAGTGGAATCGATTATTATCCCTTACAAAAATCTCCCTTCCCTCCAACTTTGAAATGATTTTGATTGTTGTGTGCACAGTTGGTACATACGCACACATTTAGTAAATCCATATACAATTGGTATATACGCACACATTTGGAAGTGCAGATATAATTGTTCACTGAAAGTGCACAATTGGTATATAAGCACACATTTGATAAATCCATATACAGTTATTAGGAAGTAGATGGAAATACAAGCATCATATCTTCTATTGGTAATTCATCTGATTGGGAGTAAATGGAGCTCTTCATATGAGCAGAATATTTATGGCAGAACTACAACTTCTTCTTAAGTGAAATCCCTCCAAATCTTGCATAAAGTTTGTATGTTTTTGTTGTCTACATTGGTATCATTATCTGTCTTGCATTCCTCTTATATTCAGCGATGACTAGTAGAAAAAGAAGATTTTCTTGCTTATGCGAACATGTACCGTGCTTATATATTTCATGTACTGACGTAGTTATTTTATAATTTCAGGTCATACAATCTAATGATCGATAATTTAGCAGGTCGAATATTTCAATACGATAACGAGTTGCAGAAATTATTTGAAGACTATTATTCGTTAGGATTAGTCATATAATGACATTAGCTATTTACTTCAAACAATAAAAATTTATTTTTAAGTTACTGTGATATTAATATTTTGGATTTGTACTTCCTTTTATTTGTTAAGATTTAGTGAGATACATTATGTTTTTATGAATTATTATTAATATATTTTGTTATTTGGATCATCTTTTGAACGAATGTAGTACTATTAATGACTGGTAAACAATTGCCGTCATAGATGGTGACTTTTAGCGGCCGTGTAACAGAAGTTACCATTTATAAAAATGGACGATAAAAGGGCAAATTACGATGTTTCTATAGAGGATATTGTAGCCATTATAATTGCTGTTAAAGATGACTTTTAGCGACAATTTACATAAATTTACTAGCCATTAAAATAGATACTAAAAGGGAATACTAATACGTTTTTCAGAAGGGATATTAAAGCAATTTTAATTGCCACAAAACAATTATCGGTAAAGGTATGCACTTTTAGTGACAATCTTTTTAAATTTAGCCGCTATAAAAATGGACACTAAAAGATCATTAGTAGCAGTTTTAGATTGGATTTAGCAGCCATCATAATTGTCGTAAACAATTGCCGTTAAAGCAAATGATATTTAGCGGCAATAAGTCATCCCTTTTACCAGCTTTTGTGATAATCGCCACTAAAGGCTTTGCCGACCCCAATTTCAGCGGCTAATCATCAATGGCCGGTAAATGATATAGCGACTATTGTTATTGCCGCAAATGCCCTTTTATATTGCCGCTAAAGTTCCTTTTTTTTTTGTAGTGAATAGTCCTGCGGATCCTTTGAAGATGCGCCGCTTAAGTAAACTGGAAATGCTTGGTAAACTTATCCAACCTCGACAAAGCCTCAGAAGACATAACTGAACCATCACCGGTCTGTTCTGCAACACCCGGTTGAATTGCCCCCACTGGCTAGGCCGCTGGAGTCTGAAACTAGGCAGCCATCTGCTCTGGAGTGTGAGTAGCGGGAGTCTGTGCTCCTCCCCCAGCCTGAGAGACGGTTGGTGCTACGGGAAATGTGCCGGTCTGAGCAACATTCTCCATAAGGCCCACTAGACGAACCAAAGCATCCTCGAGTACTGGGGTAGTGATGAACCCCTCCGAGACCTGAGCTGGTCCAACAGGCACAGTTTGGGCTGGAACATCCTCATCAAACTCTACCTGAGGCTCCATCGCTGGTGCTGCTGCTCGAGCTTGGGGGCTGAGCTCTACCCTGCCTCGGCCTTTGGCACGACCTCAACCTTGACCCCTGCCCATCGTAGGAGCTGCTTCTGGGGGCTCTAGCTACTGCTCAGCTGAAGATGCGGTACGCATTCTCTCCATCTGCGAGAGAATAGAATAGAAGAGTTCAATCAGGAATGACAGAATAAAATCGCACGATAGAGAAGAATAGAAGTGAAACTGTTCCTAACTCCATAGCCTCCGGAAGATAAGTACAGACGTCTCCGCACCGATCCGCCAGACTCTACTAAGTTTGCTCGTGACTCGTGAGACCTATGTAACTTAGTGCTCTGATACCAACTTGTCACGACCCGGAATTCCCACCATCGGGACCATGATGGCGCCTAACATTTCACTTGCTACGCAAGCTAACGTTAGAACAATCCATCCTTTTTAACAGTTTAAAACAGATATTAAACAAGAACTGAGATAACTGAATAAATTTAAAGTAACAATGTGGAAGTTGAACTAGCCAAATATATATTACAATTTTCCTGAACCTGGTGTCGCGAGTGAACGAACTACTAGAGTAATACACATAAGGGTCTGAAGTAATTAACAAGCTGTTCGAATGAAAGCTCACCAGCTAAATAAATATAGGATGGGGACTCCAGGAGCTGCAGGCGCTAAACAGCTGTACCTCAAGTCTCCGCGAGTGTTCGATCCGAGCTCTCTAGTAGCCGCTGCCGGGACCATCTCCAAAACCTGCACAGTAGAGTGTAGTATCAGTACAACCGATCCCATGTACTAGTAAGTGCTGAGCCTAATCTCGACGAAGTAGTGACGAGGCTAAGGCGGGCTACCTACGCTAAAACCTATGCGCAGTCTATAATAATGACAGAATAGTTGAAATTTCAATGCAAAGTTAAACAGCCAATAGGAATGATAGCCACAGCCTCTAAATAAACCAGTGTCGTCTAAGATTACCAATCTCTATTAGGTCAAATAAAAATACCGACAAAACAATGCAATTCAAGAAATAGAAACATATAGGTTGTTGCGGCGTGCAACCCGATCGCACCAAACAACACATAATCCTCCTTTATTCCATCAACACAATAACAATAATAGTAAACAATATATATTCTACTTATTTAGAAGCGGGAGTTGGGGCTCTTGGTCGTCCTGCTTTCAGGGCGTAACTACATTTATGCCCTTGGTTTTTTTATTGCGCACATTTCCTTAGCCCCATTTACGTAATTTACTTGTTCTTGGCCGACAAGCTCTCTTTGCACGCTTACTGTCCCTCTCTCTCTCTTCGTTGTTGTGACGAGGTCGACGACGATGTAAGAGACATCAATCGGCAAAAGATCAGCTCGCGCATGCTTAGTGACCAAATATTTCTTCTCTAAAGTGCTGTCAAGGTCTTATCTGCTTGTGTTGTCGCTAATAGTACCCCTTAACAGAGGAAAGCATGGGAACATTGGATGATTACCATTAAATGCAAGGTTAAAGAAGGGTGCTTAGAATTAAATCTATGGTCTTAAGTTGTCTTATTATCCGTGTTGTTCTAGGCCCATTTATCTAAATTCATAAGCGGTAACCGACCAGCCCTAATTTGCATTTTCGCTTCCAATCGATTATCCTATGACTATTCGGTAATGAGAATAAGAACGGCGTAGACAGGATTTTTAACATGTTGCCACCGTCAGAGTCTCTACCAAGAAACAACATAATTCGTTGCTCTCTTTCTGTTTGCAACAGTCACTCATGAATGATGAATCTCCGAAGGTAGCTTTTTGGTCAGGTTGTTAATTTTTGGTTTCTTTCCAGATTATTCTAAATTGTTGTTTCCTGTATTTGATGTTTTCGTCCAAAGTTATAACTCTCGGCTAATGGATGCTGTATAATAGGATGGGTTTCACTGATTTAATGGGTGTTCTAGCCAATTGCTAAGTACTACTGAGGATCTAACTAAGTAATTGTAGTCTATACTTCAGATTTTTCGTTTTTTTTCTTGAAATGGTTGGTGAAATCGTCAATTTTGTTCCTAGAAAGATCTTTGCTATTTTTTGTATCTTTTCTTGTGCGTACATTATCTGCCATGGAGTCCAGAAGCTTTTTGAGAAAACTGAAATCACTCCACAAAATTTTGTTGATGCGGGGTGGATGTCAATTTCCTTTAAAAGGGTACGGGTTGGTATCCAACGTTTGTACCTAGTAGCATGGGTGCTTGTGTTTTCCACTTGGAAAACTAGAAAAATGCAATTTTTTTTGGATACTGTGATTCTAATGTGTGTTGATATTGTGATTCCTAAATTAATGAATGCTACTCTATGGTGTTGTGTTAAATAATGGGACTTCCTCGAAACACTTAGCGTTACCAAAATTCCTAAGGAAGTGATCTTCGTCACTTTGCTCTCTATTACCCATCCTCATGTTCGATTTACACAATCGATTTAACTTAAAAGCAGTGGAAGTTGCAATAACTATGTCTATGATAAGTTGGATATTGATGTAGGGGTTTCTATAACTTCCTATTTAGGCCCTAGGAAGAAGATGTGGTGGTAGCATGTTGCAGGTTTCTAAGAAATGTCAGTGTGAAAGGCGATGCTCTTTTTAAGTTAGTAATGACTAAGTTATTTTTATTGGCATGTTCATTTGACCTTCATAACCCCGTAACAGTAAGACAGCTGATTTTGGATTGAAAAATTCAGAGTTTTAGTAGATCTTACCATTTTAGTTAGTGAGACAACATTCTCTTCGTTTGAAGTGTTTAATACAACCTTGTTTGTCATTATATGTTATGAACCTGTAATGTTGTAGGTACTTCCAACGTAATTATGAGCAAACGTCTACCTTATATTGTGCTTTAGTTTTTAGTTCTCTGTAATATATATGGAATTACTGAGACTTTATTTCCTTTTTAACTTATCATAAATAACTTATTATCTACTCTAAGCACATATATTGCTAGGTTGAAGCTGGTAAAAGCGTGCTTCTTTGCTGATTGTCATATGAAAATTAGTCAACTCTAAAGTGCTATTCTGGTATTCTTTCTGTCATCATCAATAAACTAAAGCTGACTTCTAAGTAAATAATAAGTTCAGCAGAAAAAAAAGTTGATCATTTGCTGAAACTCTCATTTATTGTGCTTATAAGCACGCTAAAATGAATAAATTAAATAGGATTCTGCTAGCTTCTTCATTGTAACTTCTCTGTGTTTATGAGGTTAAGAAACCTATATGTTTTCCTGAAAAGAGCGTATGCATTCCATCATAATGAAAGAGTTGATACTAAAGTAAAAAGTCAAAAACTCTTAATCTTACTGAATTAGGTGAAGATTACATATCATGTTTGGAAGAGCTTATAGTAAGGTAATGGTATGAATTACAAGCATATTTACGTTTTAATTATAGAAAGTCAAAGAGTATTAATACATTAACTGTAAGGTATTTTAGAAATACGCATTATGGATATACTGGGAGAAGTAAGCTCCTTGCTATTTTTAACCGTAGACCTTAACATATTCAATGATTCAAATGTGTGTGTGCGATTTCTAAAAAAGGTTTTTAATTATTCATTTCAAATATAAACTCATAAAATTTCAAAGTAAGATCATATTTTGTCAAGATTTTTCACGTGAGAGAGAGGGCACGAGAGAAGTAATAGGTTATTTTTCTTTGGAACTGTATTAGGACACTTCACGATTGGCGGTATAACATGTGCAGCTTGTGTAAATTCTGAAGGTATCCTTAAAATGTTTCCAGGAGTAAGAAAGGCAGTAGTTGCTTTGGCTACATCACTAGGGGAGGTTGAATACGATCCATGCATAATCAGTAAGGACAATATAGTGAATTAATGCTGTTGAAGATGCTGGTTTTGAAGCTTCCTTAGCACAGAACAGTGAGCAGGACAAGATGATACTCGGAGTGGTTGGAATATCTGCTAAGATGATA